AAACTGTGTTGCCGTGCCTTCCCCCCCCCCCCCCCCCTTCTAGTATTCTTCTGTAACAAGATTTAGATTAGGGGCCAGCTTTGAAAACCAGCCTTCTACAGACAGCTATACATAAAGCCAAATATCACTATAGTTTAGTCTGTTTCAGGCCTAATCTGTGTGGAAGAAAGATGGCTGGTGGACACTCGCAATGAACATTCCAGATACATTATGTGGATGCATGATGACTACCTTTGCCATTTTACTGTATGTTATATGGCTGCTTCTACTGCTCTTTCATGTTTGTGACTTTGTCATGTCATGTGTCATATGTAGGTGTTGATCCAAAATCTGTTGTCTGTGCATTCTTCAAGCAAGGACAGTGCACAAAAGGCGACAAGTGCAAATTCTCCCATGACCTGTCTTTAGAAAGAAAATGTGAGAAGAGAAGTGTTTATTTTGATGGAAGAGATGACGAGCTTGAAAAAGGTGGGCTAGCCTAGGTTTTCTTAGAATGCTAGACAAGTGACACCAGAACTGATGTATTCTCAATAATGGCTTCTTATTTACAGATACAATGGATAATTGGGATGAGAAGAAGTTGGAGGAGGTGATCAAAAAGAAACATGGTGGTGAAGCTGAAATGAAAAAAACCAAGACTCAAATCGTATGTCCTTCTTTTTTTTTTTGTTAAACCCACAGAGCAATTTTTTTTGGTGTTTATGATCCACCGTTATGATGATTCCTGAACGTTTTAGCTACACGTAGTAATGAACATAAAGATGCAGTGTCTATAGATGCAGTATATTGTTAAAATATATGTAGTTGGTAGCAGGCACATGCTGATTGGGGCTAGGTAGGATGTTCTTCTGGCTTTAGTGCTGCACTTTATGGTACTTTATTGTTTCGTTTTTATTAGAAGCATTTGATCTACTTCATACGGTCTAAAAACAGTTTTTTCTCTTTTGGTGGCTCAATTTCAAAGTAATTTTTTTTCAGCAGGGTTGCTGATTTAACTGCCTAATAGCCCCTGGAAGTAAGATAAAAATGGAGAACGGAAAGCATTTTAATATTTTCCTTTAGAAATCAATAAAAATATTCTGCAGCTACATAGTTGATAGGGCATTGTAAATAAGCAGCCTCAAGGCCCTTAACTGGACCTGAATGCAGAAAATGAAGATTTGGTATGTCCTAGCAAACATTTAGAAATGTTCATTGTGCCTAAGCAGTACCCTGGAACTGTACTTTTGTCTGGAATTCATCCTGTATAATAGTGCACGGGTGCCTTAGGCACTGCTGCCTGTGATTGCTGGTCTCTGCTGGAGATTCCCTACTATACTGCTTATTGTTCTCCTTGCTGGAGGATATGAAAACAGGAAGCAAGCCATGCCTCTACCAAGATGGTCGCCTCTTGACAGAGTGCAGAACAAGGCACAGTAAGTCTTGGCTTTGAGAGCAAGCTTGTAGCAATAATCCTCATCTGTGGAACATTTTTGTGGAAGTCATGTGATTTGGGATATTTGCTAATATTTATAATGCATATATGTTGAAGTTCTTGTTGTATACTGATTGGGTTTAGCATGATAATATGCAGCGCCCTGCAGTTTTTTTAGGTGGTTGTTTTTATGCGTTTCAAATGACTTTTTGCTCAAATATGCCCTTTGTTGAACTTTATTTGCTATGTTCCATTTCTCTCAAGTCTTTTTCCCAAGTGTTTTAAGACCATGAATTTAAAGGAGAACTATGACATGAGTGATTTCCACTCACCTCATAGTTCTAGCCGACCTGTGACAATGAGACTGTCACAGGTCGGCTCAGTAGATCGGGAGGTGAGGGAACACATACCGGGTTCGCTCGCCTCTCGATCCTGTCATGGCTCTCTGCCGTGACAGGGGAGGGGCTGGATTCCCCTCTCCCCGCTCCGATCTGCCAGCGCTGACTGGCGGAACGGACGGGGGAGGGGCGAGTACAGCTGGCTCTGCCTCTAGATAGGCAGAGCCAGCTGTCACTCACGCAGCTGGGCGGATCCCGTCATCTACGCCGGGATCCGCTGCGGCGTCTCAGTATACTGAGCTTAGAGTAACGGGAGGACGCTAGTTTGTGTCCTCCCGTTACCCTAAGGAGAACTATGGGGAAAAACACTGACCCCATAGTTCTCCTTTTAATCGAATCTAATAATTGGTACACCCACTAGGTAACTTTTAATATTGTATACATATAGTGTGGGTACCATTTTTGGCAGTAAGCGGCAGTCTCTTTAAATGTCAGTTGCTCTTCTCAAAGTTCCTTTTTAAAGTTTTTTATATTTTAATTTGTAATCTGTTTTTATTATGGAACAGGGTATTGGTCCAGGTCTGCAATTTACTGGACGATCTTTAGAAAAAAAATAATATACAGGAGACTTTAAGGACCCATATTTCGAGCCACGTTTTAAGTACCACTGTCCTAGAGTTTTATATATTTGGTATAATAACATGCCTTCTTAATGACTATTAAAATACACTTCTGAGGTCTGAACTGCCATCTGCCAATGTTTGATCAGTATCCTGCAGTAACAGGACAGAACGCTCCCTCACTTTGGGTTTTTTGGTTTCCATCAAGACAGCCAAGATGAGATATATGGTTTATTCTGAATGTATTCCACTTCTGAGTTTTCTGGGCGATGTTGACTTAAAGCTGAACTCCAGGCACAAAAACTTTTATTTTAATATATTCCTCAACAGCCACATTGGATCACTGCATAATTCTGGAAGAAGTACACAAAGCAAACCAAAATTGCTTGCTAGACTGGAGTTGGTCTTAGCTGTGTGTTTTCTTATGGATTTATAGATCATGGTGGCTGCCCTACTGCACCGTTGTCAATCTGACCTCCTCAAATTCTGGGGTTACTGCTTACTACACTGTATTTCCAGTGCTGCAAGGATGAGAGATACGGCTGCAACAGTGACATGCCCCAGATGCATACTACCTTTCACAAAAGCCGCGTATGTGTAAACAAAAAATCCTCTCTATCCTATCATTTGACACAGGATCACTTATGGTGGGGGATGGTACAATGTGAAGCTTCATATTAACAAGCCCCATTGGGTTTTAAATAAAGTAAAAGGTCTGCAGGTAGGTAAAATTGAAGTCCTGGGCAGAGATAAAAAGCATGTATTCATTAGTAAATCATTAATCAATCAAAATAAAACCTTGCTGGCAGGTAGGCTTTTATTGCAGGTAAAAACAAAAAAGGAACAGTGAAAAAAACACACCATAGTGTAATAAATATGCACCTCTAATAATAGGTCTAGGAGCCTTTCGCGTACGGCACATGCAAATGGCCAAGGAACATGGCTGTCCAGTCAGCATTCTTGGGTTGGAGAAAACACCGTTGTGTGTGTGTGTTGTTTTTTTTGTTGTTAGGGATTCACCGATCTATCGGCCACCAAAACATATTGGCCGAAAATGACACTTTTGGCTAAATGCCGAAAGTGCAATTTTTCTGCCGATAAAGCGGCGCATCGCTGGTTTCTTTCCTCCCTGCTGGGCGCTGCTATGTCCCAGCGGGGAGGAGAGAAACTGTGACAGGCGGCCGAGCGCTGTGTGAGGAAAGCGCTGTGAGCAGCTGTCGTCTCTACTACCACACCGCTCAGCCTCCTATCACAATCCGGCAGATCGGTGTCTGGGCGTAGACAGCACGTGCTGTCACAGGAAAATGCCGAAGTGCCATTTTCCTGCCGATCAGCACATCCATGATTTCTTTCCTTCCCGCTGGGCGCTGCTTTGTCCCAGAGGAGAGAAAGTGACAGCCGGCCGAGCGCTGTGTGAGGAGAGCGCTGTGAGCGGGCGGTGTCTTTCCTCCCACCCCGCTCAGCCGCATATCGCAGAGCGGTGTGGGGTCGGAGACGGCGCTGTCGCAGGAGACTGGGCTCTCCTCTTGCACCGCTCACTCACCCTCCTGTGGACAGTGTGTCGGAGGAGAGCAGGCTAAGTACACTCAGTGATTGCTGAGTGTTTGTAGATAATTGAGGACATAGTATGGTTACTATATCCTCAATTATGAATGGGAAGTGATCTACATCACTTCCTGTTCATGATTGTGGTTATAGTAAACATACAATCTCCAAGTTATGAATGAACAGGAACACTCACTATAGAGGATTCCTGTTCATTTATAACATGGGCTGCAGAAAAAGAGATTGAGGAGATCTGTTTAGACCCCCAATATTTCCCCGAAGACCCTAAAGTAAAGTGAAAAAATACAAATATTTAATTAACAAATAAGAATAAATATTAAAAATGTTTAAAAAATTGGAAAAAATTAAAATAAACATTTTCAGTTTCGCCCTGACATATTATTATATTATATATTTTTTAATGCCATCCACCTAACTACTGTGTACATCTCGGGAATGATTGGACATAATATACACACTTGTTTGCCATTCTGGATTTCATTGTGCTTTATTTATTGGTGATTTTTGTGGTTAACTTGAAACTGTATATGTTGGAGACAGTGGGTGAGTGTGTGAAATACCTGAAACTAGGTTCGTACTTTTTCCTAAGCACATTTTTTTTTTTTTTATTGCAGGTCTGCAAGTTCTTCCTTGAAGCTATAGAAAACAACAAATATGGCTGGTTTTGGGTATGTCCTGGTGGAGGTGACGTCTGCATGTACCGCCATGCATTACCTCCTGGATTTGTGCTGAAGAAAGACAAAAAGAAAGAAGAGAAGGACGATGAAATTTCATTAGAAGAATTGATAGAGAAAGAGGTACGAGAAATGTTATATTGAAATATGATTTATCTTGCCTAATATTGTGATTCAGTGTAGTGCTGTGCCGCGAAAACAGTGTCGCATGCAGTGGCGTAACAACCGCCATAGCGACCCAGGGTTATGGGGCCCGGGCACAGGGGGGCCCGACCAGGGCATCCCTCTGATGCCGTGCGGGCCGCCTGGGTCGCTATGGCATATCAGGGTGCTGGCTGTCACTGACACAGCTCTGCAGCTGCTGTGTCAGTTACAGCCAGCAGCTGCAGCAGAAGAGGCCGGTTACACCGGTGTTCGATCGAGTTCTCGGACCGCCGCAGTGAAGGAGTCGGGGCCCGCCTAAGAGCAACCCCGCCTCCTCTTACATCACTGGCCAGCGACCTAAGAGCAGGTGGGACGGAAGAGGAGGCGGGGCCCGGCGACCACAGAGCTGGACAGCGCGCTGCTGACAGGTAAGGTGTGCTGCCATAGAGACTCTATGGTGGGCTCTGCAGGGTCACACTCAGGTGGGCTCTGCAAGTGGCATAACTAGCAATCACGAGGCCCCATACACAATTTTGTTACGGGGCCCTGTGATTTCTAGTTACGCCCCTGGTCACATGTCTGGCTTTTTTTCAATTCATAAACAAGAAACAATGTTGCAGGCTTCTAATGGTTGTGGGAATGATCAGAAGCCTTTAGTGATATCTGACCCTGAAATGCTGCAGTATCAGTGTCGCTAAGGTTAAGAATGCACCGATACTAGTATCGATATCGTGCCGAAACAGAGTATTGGGCCAGTACGAGTAATGCTCTGATGCCTACTACGAGTACTTCCTGATTGGTTGGGTAGCTGGCCAATCGGGAAGCCGGGCACCGTGTAATGATTAGCCGGGAAGCTGACTTCATGCTCCCTCGTCATTACACAGCGCCCGGCTTCCTGATTGGCGGCTGGGTACCGGAGGAAGCTCGCGTTCTGCCTGGGGAGGCCCCGGGGGTGACCAGGTGGACATACCAAGATAAGAGGGGACAGACCTTTCTTGTTAATCAGGAAGCTAGGTGGCGAGTCATTACACGCCACCTGGCTTCCTGAATGGGACTTCCGTTACTCAGTAATCGGTATCGGCGATTACCGAGAAAAAAAAATCGCTACTTGGTACCAAAATACAGTTATCAGTGCATCCCTAACTAAGGTAAATATTGGCTGTTAAGTTTGAAGCAGCCTAATAATACCCCAAAATAAATTAAATTATCAAGCAGTAATGGTGAGATTCATTCAATACGACTGCATGAGATATCATTTTTAAAAAAAACAATGTTTTTAAAAATGAAATATTTAAATATATTTTTATTAGGGATGCACCAATATATATCGGCCGCCTAAACATATCGGTCGAAAATTGGCACTTTTGGCTAAACGCCGTAGTGCCATTTTCCTGCCAATCAGCGCATCCGTGATTTCTTTTCTCCCCGCTGGGCGCTGCTCTTTGTCCCAGCGGAGAGGAGAGAAAGTGACAGCCGGCCGAGCGCTGTGTGAGAAGAGCGCTGTGAAGGGCGGTTGTCTCTCCTCCCACACTGCTCGGCCGCCTATCGCAGTGCGGCAGAGCGGTGTTTGGTCGGAGACGGCGCTGTCACAGGAGACTGGGCTCTCGCACCGCTCACTCAGCCTCCTGTGGACAGTGTGTGTCAGGAGAGCAGGCTACATACACTCATGATGCATGAGGAGGTAGCTGTGTGGGGATGAATTGTTTGAGAATGTGATGGTTCAGTGGTCAGGTTGAGGTGGGATAGGCAATCAATGAACAGGAACACTCGGTACAGAGGCTTCCTGTTCATTGATAACTGAGGCTGCAGAAAAATAGATTGAGGACTCTGTTCTCAATCTCTTTTTCTATTTTAAAAGGGAAATATCAGGGGTATGTTTAGACCCCCAATATTTCCCCAAAGCCCCTAAAAGTAAAGTGAAAAATAAATTAAATTAAAATAAACATTTTCGGTTTCGGCCTGAAAATTTTTTCTATTTCGGTTTCGGTTTTTAAATTTCTATTTTGGTGCACCTCTAATTTTTATACTATCATTATAAAAATGAACCCGTTACAGCTGAGCTGCAGATTTGTTTTTCACCCTAAGGTTTTTCATTTGACAAAATGAATAATGTTGTGAGCGTACAGGTATCATACAGAGATTACAAATGTTTAATAATTCTCATATACATTTGATGTAAACCTGGGGAACCTCTGGATGCCAAATTCATACTATAGAGGGGCTCAACAGCTGCCTGACTTAAATTCAGTCCTGCTTAATTGGACCAAACCTTTTTAAACTTGTGTTCTCTTCTACAGGCTTTTCAGAGGCTTTTTAGGCAAATGTGGACAACTCCAGCCCTCCATCTGTGCTTTTACTACAAATCCCAACATGACAGCCTGTAACTGTGCATTGCAATGCCTCATGGGACTGGAGGAGGTCTGCAGTTGCCCACCCCTACATTTAGGGCCTTCCCAGACACATGGGAACAGATTTCATAATTGGCCTACATCATGTTATACTGCATTGCATGAGGCACAATATTTCTTTTTATTTAGAAGTCTTAAAATGTATTTCCACATCTGTAGTCAAATTTGGGAAACCCCACTATGTCATATGTTCCTATTCACACAGCATATCTCAAATACTTTAAAAAGGATATTTGTTGCCTTTCTAGCTGTTTCTTTGGATCAGGATTACACATGGGACACTGTGGCAGTTTCTACCTCATAGAATAGATGGCAGTTTGGAGATAAGGTGACAGACTGATGGTTAGTTTTTTTTAAAGGCAGATTAACATACAATGTGGGGAATTTATCTAAACTGGTGCAGACAGAATCTGGAACAGTTGCCCATGTTAACCAATCAGCATTTCTTTTCAGTTTGTTCAATTAAGCTTTCAAAATTAAAGATGGAAGCTGATTGGTTGCCATGGGTAACTGCTCTAGGTTTTGTTTGCTCCAGTGTTAATAAATTGCCTCAAGATCTTTAACCCTTTGTTAGGAGGCAGAAGTCCTGCACAATTGCCCAGTCCCTCATAAACTGGGAGAACTAAGTAGAATTTTTCAGTTTGTTCGTTTTCTACAATGAGCATCTAAAAAGATAAGCTGGAATTTTGTTTTTTTTAGTTCTGCTATGTGATTGGGAACATGTAACAAATCTAAAGTGGGAGGTAATCCCAATTTGACTGCAAAGGTGGAAGTACACTTAAAAAAATAAATAAAATGACACATTGGTGAGCAAAATGTCCTAGATTATCGTGTTACATAAACAGGAAAGTAAAATAATGGCCTTTATGCCATTTTATAGCTTAGCAGGAGTCCACTAAATTACAATTTAATATTTTGAGGTGTTTTGAGAACATCTTTCGGTTCTCTGGAATTAGATGTTTGTAATGTGGCACTGATTACTTGTTTGGTACTACTGAGGTCCATCAGTTAACGGTTTTGGTGTCTGCCTGGTTTATTAGCAACAGAAATGGTTCTATCTGAAGTCCAAGTTCTATCCAGCAACAGAGTCTATGTTAAGATGAAACGTGTTTTTTTGCAAAAATACGACTGCTTGCACACAAAAAATCCTATTCATCCACATCAATATAGTTTACCTGATTTTTATGCTTTAATGAGCACTGCAACTCTCTGTACAACAACTTTTACTACTTTGTGTGTTTTAGCGAGCAGCTCTTGGACCAAATGTTACCAGGATCACCTTAGAATCTTTTCTTGCATGGAAAAAACGAAAAAGGCAAGAACGAATCGAAAAAGCCGAAGAAGAGATGGAAAAAAGAAAAGCAGACTTCAATGCTGGAAAATCCTTCGGGGTATACGTTGAACTTAAATCACAACTTAAAATGTTTTTTTTGTGTTTTTCCAATATATTTATCATTATTTTATTTTTTTTAACAGATAAGCGGTCGTGAAGTATTTGAATTCCGACCTGAGCTTGTAGACGATGATGATGAAGAAGCAGATGACACTCAGTACTCAATAGATGAAGATGAAGACGAGGTATTTTGTTCTGCTTTTGATTAACAGAGTTCTCTGTACTCGTCTGTAGAGACGGAAGAAAATCTCCACTCTTAAAGCAGACGTGTAGTGTGTGGGTGGATAAGCAACATTTGATTTGATAAGTAGACTATTCCTGCGCATAGCCTTTTATTTCTTTTATTTTTTTATAGTTGGGCCCCTGGACTGCCTATACCTGTATTTTTTTAAAGTTGGAACAAAGGCACTCACCCCTATATTCCACATTATAATAATTCATGTGACTTCTGTATTGGGCTGGGGGGGAAATGCTTCAAATGTCAAAAAGTTGGCTTTGTGGGCACTCTAGAGAGCTTGCCAAATTAGTGTGTGCGTGTGTGGTTTTCTTTGTATTAATACATTTTTTGTTTGTGTGCCTTTTCCAAACTGAAGACTTGTTTCCATTCCAAAAATTAATATTTTATTGGCTACTGAAGTGACATTAGAAGCTGTAAGATTAGAAATGTGGGCGCTGCCATTGCGGAGGAGGATGTGTTAAGGACTGGGTTGGTTCTCACTTGCTGGCTAGTTAAAAATGGCTTGAATCTTTTTAAAGTGAATCTATGCTTTACCCAAACAGAGCATAGTAACAGGTTTGCTTGAATTTGGCACTCCTCAGCATATTTGTTCATGTTCATATTTGTAGAGCCGGTGGCTGGCAGTAGAGGCAACTTGGCTGTTGCCAGATCGCTTCTACAGGCCAGTAAAGTGGCGCCCCCATGCCCGACACCCCCGCCGTGTTTCCTGGGCTCTGCGGGCCTGGGATCGGCATGTCTGGTGCTGGTGGGAAGCTGGGGAAGAGAGCTGTGACCTTCCGATCTCTCTTCTCTGTGGGACCAGTATCTCATCACTTCCGGTCCCTTAACTGTCATTGCTTGGCACCTGAAGCCGAGCAATAAGCTATTGATGTGTGATCTGCACATGGCTTATTTAAGGTGGAAAGGTGATGCTAGGGGTCTTTTGGACCCCCAGTATCACCTTAAAGAGGACCTGTCACTGCCAATATGCTATCACAATGGGGGCTTGTAAATCTAAAGTGTCCCCCCCCAAGAGCACGTGCACCTACGTACGAAAACAACTATCACGCTATACATTTTTCACTACATTTTGGGGTTTCATAATAAGTTGCTCTAATGCCGTGCAACATAAATTTGCAACTGCCACCATTTTATCCTACAGGGTCTTGCCTTTCAGAAAATATATAATGTTTGGAGGATTGAAGTAATCTTCATGCCTAAAATGTGCATTCTAACACGCAAGCAAAAAACGAGGAAAAAAAGGCCTTGGTCCTTAAAGTTGTTGGTCCTTAAAGAAGTTGAACACTCCAAGTATTGTAGCTCATGTGTTAGCATAGTAGACTCATTCAGTGTCACTTTTATCTTGGATGGATTATTATCGCATAAATACGGTATTTAACCTCTTGCCGTCCGCCCGTAGTAAAAAAACGGACGGACGGCACTGCTACATCTGCGTGTTGCCGTCTCTAGACGGCAATTTTTTTCTGCTCGCGCGAGACTGCACTTCATGAGATTTCAGGTATTTATTTTCCCGTCTTTTGTGGGCATTTTTTATTGATGATTTTGTATCTGTTCAAGCTCAGGGAGTTTGTGAACCGAGTAGTGAAACGTTCTTAGGTGTATGATCCAAGATGCTTGCACAAGAACACACTTTTGACAAGTATGTGTTTTTTGCTTTTTTGTATTTTTAAAGACTGATTCATCAGATGTTCAAGATATTGACCTGAGTCGGTTTGTTCTGAAAGATGTTGATGAAACCGGAATAACAGTCGCCAGCAATGAACGTTTCAGCACATATATCATCACATCAACAGAAAGAGAGGGTAAGTTCATGTAAACGTCTGTTTTTCATCATTTCTATCATTGTTGATTCACTTGCATAGTGACCCTTGTCCAGCCATCATAAATGAATCATTTCCCTTAACATGTACCCTTGTCTGTGATATTTGAGTGTATGCGGGCTTCTAGGATGTTTTATGTTAGTAGATCACACCAACTTCCAGAAAACTGGATGGTCCTATTCCTTGCACCGTGCTTTATTTTATATCTAACATGAAGCTTGGTGCACAGAGTAATGAAAACATTATGGATAATGGTTATGCGGCATTACATTTTAATGTACTTAAGATCTCCAGGCAGAATTATTCTTAACCCTTGCAGTGGGGCTGCCCAGACACTGCAAAAATGAAGTGCTTGTTTTCATCTATGGACAAAAATAAAAAAATCTTCAGCTGGCTAGCTGTTGGACTGGTCCCTGTTCTCTTAGTGACAGCTGGGTATGATGGCTAACAGCTCTGGTCTACACCAGGGGTGCCCACAATTTTTAATCTGGAGATCTACTTTTGAAATGACGAGCTCAATGAGATCTACCAACGAAAAAACACCTACATTCAGAGGCGGGTGGGGGGCGTGGCGGTGCATTATAGTCAATGGCACCGCAGCCACGCCCCTTGCCCGCAGTGTGATCGCCCGGAACACAGGCACATTAGTGCTTGCGGCCCGGTCCAGTGTGATCTGCAAAACTGCTGCAAGCACTATTTTTGCAGATCGCACTGGACTGGAACGCAGCCACTAATGTGCCTGCGTTCCGGGTATGGGCGATCGCACTGCAGGGGGCGTGGCTGTGGTGCAATTGACTTCAATGTACCGCCACGCCCCCTCCTGCCCCTGAATGCAGGGAGCCCGCGTGCTTTCTAGATGCCGAACACTGTGGAATGCAGACTTTGTGGTGTGAACCGGCCCTCTCTCTTTGCTGTGCTCGCTCGCTCTCTCTCCCTCTCTGCTCGCTCGCTCTCTCCTGTCTGTCTTTTCTTACCTCCACTGCAGCAGCTTCCCAGGTCTCCTCCTGTGCGCAGGCGTCCTGTCCTCCCGCCATGCTCGTGTGGCCGACTTTGCACATAGGGAGAGGTGTCCCACCCCTTCCCGTCTGTGGCGTCTGACACATTTGGGCGCGTGAGGACAGGACACAAGTCAGTGAGCCGATCCTGATCTACCAGCATTAGCTTTGCGATCGACTGGTAGATCGCGATCGACCTAATGGGCACCCCTGGTCTACACTAACGATCAGATACAAATTTGGTTTCTGATCATGCGATCAATATAGCTCTGTGTGGAGTTAGTCAAGTAAAACAGTGCTCCTAAGTATGCCTCGGTCTTGTCAACAATTGTCAGTGAATTTGGGGAGATTTGAATGGCAGAGAACAGCCATAACAAATAGAGGGGGGATTTATCAAAGCAATTGTGACAGTTTTAGCCTCTTGGATCATTGTTTTTTGGGGGGTTTTTGTGTGCAGATCTGTTTAGTGTCTCCTGTCTCCATGTGCGCCCGTTATGACCAGAGCTTGCACTATTTTTCTGATTGCGCTTGCTTAGCGAAAGTTTGCAACTGTTTACATCTGTACTTGTCCTGCGGCTGTCTGAAACTGGTGCACCCGATAACAAAACAATCACTACCTAAAAAGTCCCCATGATCACTTCTTGAAGAAGTAACAGTTAAGCTTTTTTGCCTGGAGTTATGAGTCTTCTTTCCTGGAGTCTATTTAGTCTAATTTATGAAAAACATTACACCAGCATCATAAATCTGGCGCAAACCTATACCATGTGACCATATGCGAGTTCAAACACTCGCAATTGCTATGATAACCTCCCCCCCCGAGTATTTGGGGAATTTATTTTCACCTATCATTTAGCTCTAACGCTAACCCCTTCCATAACTTGCCATTCCCCTGATGAAAGGTACCAGCATTGATATTTCGGCCCTGCAGACTATTGGGTTTAAATTCTTGCTCTCTTGTGCACTTCTTCTTTTTTTTTTCCCCTTAAAATGATCATGTACAGTCATTAGAGACGGCAAAAAGTTTCCCAGCACACTCACCAGCCAGCATTAGAGACCTCACCAATTTACTGTGGGCATTTTCATTTAGTAGTATTGATTCCAAAGTATTGTATTCAAATGTACTGCTCATGTTTCAATAAGTCCGTTTTACTATTTCCTCTTAAACATATTTCCTCTTCAGATGATATAAAGTTGAGTGAAGCGTCAGGAGGAGAAATCCAAAATGGTGAGCATAGCAACTTTGAAGAAGAAAGTGAAGAGGAGGAAGAAGATAATTTGATAGACGACGTGCCTGTTGATGAAAACCTTTTTACTGGAGAAGATTTGGATGAACTTGAGGAACAGCTAAACACACTTGAGGAATAATTCTCCCCATTCACAGTTCACATCTCTAGTGAGCTATTCAGACTGCCAAGCCCTTCAACATTTTTATTATTTTAAACTACAACGTTTAATTGTTCCCCTACTGCTTCTTCAGTGCACATCAAGAAGAGAAATAAAAACAATAAAAAACTTGTGGTGTTGTCATGAGAACTGCAGACTGATCAAACTCTCTATAGGAATGACAAAGATCTCATATGGGTGTAGTGGTATGTGATGTCTTTTACTATAATACAAATTTTTTTCTGTGTTGATTTTGTATTGATTTAGTAAATGCATCCAGCAAGAGCTTATTTGTGTATTTACATTTTCAATGGCTGGGAATGCTCTTCATTTTTTTTGATAGTATGATTCATTGAGATCACATAGATACTTTATTTAAATCAAAGTGCACACATCTTAAAGGCCAAAATGCATTAGTGGTGTGCATTGCTATAGACCACTCCCTTTTCAGTCATATAGTACAGTGGTAAGCCTGATCTTTGGTATGGAAGACCATAAATTGTGCCATCCTAACTGAAAAAATGGTTCTATATTATCATGACTAACATTTTTAAACATCAGCCAGTGCAGACATATGCCCTGGTCTGCTTTGTATTCTGGCTTTGATCTATACCGGCTGACTTCACTGTTTCCAGTACAAATGTGCACAGATCCATGTGTAGACTTGCTGTGACCAGAACCTTTGAGCCCCAACAGGTGGGGGTGGGGGGCACCGCCCGCTACCGTTCCAGCAATTGATACAGGTAGATGGAGCATTTGTAGAAATGGTGAGTACGATGTCTTTTGAGCTCCTAAATAATTTGGATCTTTGTATACTGTAGTGTCTGTTAGTGTTAAAAATCCAGAAGCAATGTCTGGGGTATAATATGATATGGTTAGAACAGCAGCATGCTGTAAGTGGATAGAAGAGGCATGCTTGGTACAAGTATTTTGAAACATGCATCCATGCTTTGTAGCAAGAGTGTGTCTCGGCTAAGGCTGTGCATCCTAAAAATGAAATTGGGAGTTGCTCTGTAAATCTTGTGGTAAATATGGATTGCGTACAAATGATTGATCCACACTTCTCACAGCCTACTTAGAGCTCTTCTGCGGGTGAAATAATACTCAACCAATCAATATATAATTTAAACTGCCCAGTACTCATAAATAAATGACTAAAACAAATATATATTTAAATACATATCAATAAAACAGTACAAATATATATGTGTACTGAGTACACTAAGCTTCAAAATATGCAAAAAAAAACATAATTTGCAATTAAAAGTCTGAAAATGAATACTGGCTATTAAACCTCAACTACAGTTCAAATTCTCCAGATATCTAAAAGTTCAATTCAGCCATATAGTGCAAATATATAAATACTTTGAAATGTGCTCACCCCTGATAGTCCTCCAAACCAACTCATTCAGCGATGATCACTAAAGTGCTCCCTCTAAAATGAATAAGCTCACTAAGTGGAGTGGACCACTTGTGCTATGTTTTAGGCAAAATCCCCACACAACAAAAGCACAATAGTCCCGTCCTTAGGCTGAACTAGAAACATAAAATGTGAATCCTGCATCAGTTAATGGACAAGCTCCTGGGCTAAACCTCTATGCAAGCCTTGAATAGACACATTTGTGTTTTAATAATTTGCATTAATCCATGCAGGTGTTGGATTTCTGATTGCACTGGTTACAGTCTCTAGGCCAGGGGTAACCAAGGTTTAGCCCTCCAGTGGTGGTGAAACTACAACTACCATCATGAATCTGCCTCTGGAAGTTGTGGCTGTCAGTGTCTTACAGTGCCTTATGGAAATTTGTAGTTTCACCAAAGCTGCAGGTACCAAAATTTGGCTACCCCTGCTCTATGCTAATATCTTCATTGTCCCTTATTTTAGTGTCTGCAGCTTTAATTAAATATTAAGAGGTTGAACTCGATGGACTTGTGTCTTTTTTTTCTCTTTTCGTCTTCTTTCTTCAACCTGACTATGTAGATCTGGGCCCATAAAGACCATATGAACTGAAAGGCTTTGAGCACTTCCCACCTGAGTTTGGGCTAGGTGAAGCCACTTAGTATATATTTGGGGGGGGATTACGGTGTATTTGCATTTTATTAAGGATGTAGTATTTAAGGGACTTCTAATTGCTTCTATTCTGGCTATTGGTTGTGTGCAGGTCTAGGGGCTGAAGCTGTACCTCTTATTGGATACCAGTGTCCACTATACACCCCCCCCCATTGGTGTTCTCAAGTTCAGCCTGCTATCACCTCTATCCTTCAGAGTTTTTCCACTATATAGATGTATAACAGATTAGTTACCAGCAAAATGTCTATCTATTGACGTACATGCTAAAAATGCTAAGCATAACACAGTGCAAAGTTTTGGGGTCATGTAGGATCCCCTTCATCAGGCAGAACAAGTCGGCGTGTTCAGCCTGATGAAGGGGATCCTACCTGACCCCCGAAACGTTGCACTGTTAGCTTTTTTTTGCATGTATGTCAATAAATAGACATATTCTATTTGCCGTTGGTGTGCCGATGTCCATATTCTTATTGCTTTGTGACATATCCCTCATTTCCATATGTATTGCTTATTGTTGGGTCTTTCTTAGAAAAACTTGTGCATTCTACTGTGTGCTGTGCTTTAGCTTTTATGTATTAATTTGCATGCACACTCAAGTACCAACACATGGCCTAGTGACTAAATGGCAACTTACCAATTTCCAGAATAGAATGTATAGTGATCATGGCGCTCATTTAGTCACTCTTTTGTATACTGCTAAGACAAAAACATTATTTTTAAGACCGTGTTGCCAGTAGCTCTTTACCATGTTGGGAGTGTCACTAGACATCTTGCTTTAGCTGTCACTGAACTTTACGGCACGGTTTTCCCAGATTTGATAGTCCTAAGAGTAGATCTGGCTTTCTGACTAAAACTCACCCTAGGTTCATAGGACTTAGGAAATAGTAATTACTTCTTCAAACCCATCCAGTGATGGGAAGCAGTGTCTCTGTGCTAGGATGTATGTAGAGCCATACGAGTATATCTTAAGAAATACAAACTATGGGAAAAAATGAAATAGCCTATTTGCTATACTATGCTACACCTTAGCAACCCAAGAGAGTTGCTAAGGTGTTAAAGAACACTATAGACCGGTAGAACAGATGCACCATTTTGGAGCATACTGTACATAGTTTTAAAAGTAGATTCTTTCAGTGATATTCAAGGTCAATTCACAGGTCTTTGGCCTCAGTATGGACAGAGATGGTTTGCATAAACAGCTCTACAGAGCTGCCACCTAGAACAATTTTTATGCGGTTATTCAACACAACCAGATGGCCCTACTGGTTGTGGGACTAACCAGATGGGGACTAAGCTTTTGGGAAGCAGTAGCCCTGCCCTCGTAGGCTATTTCTCACATATACTCTTCTGCTGTCCTGCAAGATGTTTGGGCAAAACAGAGTTTGTTACCTGGTAACTCAATCTCCAGGAATCTTCCAGGACAGCAGGGACTTCCATCCCATTATTTTGGTGATTAGGGGTTTAAACATATTCCTAGAATATTTTAACTTTTAGTTCTTTAAAGGAGAACTATGGGGTTAAGGCTTTTCCCCATAGTTCTCCTTGTGTAACGGGAGGACACAAACTAGCGTCCTCCCGTCACCTTAAGCTCAGTATACCGCGAGCTACGGCTCGCGGTATACTGAGATGCTGAAGTGGATCCCAACAATTATGTCTGGATCCGCCCAGCTGCGTGAGTGACAGTTGGCTCTGCCTATCTAGAGGCAGTGCCAGCTGTACCCTCCCCCGTCCGTTCTGCCAGTCAGCACTGGAGGTTTGGAGTGAAAAGCACTCACCTCATAGTTCTCCTTTTAACTATTAACAAAAATGTATCTTATTTGTGCATCACTCGGCTGTAGATTCTCAGGTCATCTCTGGATTGGTGCTTACACTGTTCTTCCTTCTAGAGGGTCATTACCCATCGCCCAGCTTCCTCATTGGCCGGGAAGCCGGCTCCATGTTCCCTCCAAGCTCGATGCTCTGATGGATTACAATCTCACAATATCACATTTAGTCCCAGCCAATCAGCATCGAGCTAGCTGGTTGATTGGCTCTATGCTGATTGGCTGGAAAGCCAGCTTCCTGACAATCAGCATCGAGCCAGCCAAAAAGCATGGAGCTGGCTTCCAGATTACATGAGAAGCCGACTCAAGCCCTTACAGTCTAAAAGGGAGTGACAAGTGATACATGAGAAGGTAGCTGTATGGGGATGAATTGTTTCAGAACGTGATGGTTGAGTGGTTAGTTTGAGGTGGGATAGGCTTCCCTGAAGAGATGAGTCTTTAGTGATCGCCTAAAAGCAGTCAGAGTAGGGGATAGACGGACTGGTTGCGGTAGAGTTCCAGAGGTTGGGAGAGACTTTAGAGAAGTCCTGGAGGCGAAAATGGGAGGAGTTTACGAGGGAGCTGGAAAGCAGGAGGTCTTTGGAAGAGCGGAGGGGACGGTTGGGGGGGATACTTTGAGACAAGGTTTGAGCTATAGCCAGGGACAGAGTTGTGGATGGCTTTGTAAGTGGTTCTTAATATTTAAAATGTTATCCTTTGGGCTATTGGAAGCCAGTGGAGGGAGCGTTCATGATAGACAGAAGGGGGGGATATCCTGTGTAGAGGTAGGTCAGTCAGTGGGGAGTTGCAGTGGATGAGTAGCTTTGCGGTTTCATTGGTGAGGAAGGGGCATATTTTGGAGTGGTTACGAAGGTGAAGGCGTCAGGATTTGGTTAGTGATTGGATGTGAGGCAGAAAGGTGGCATGGGGGTGGGGATGGATAATTGTGTCATCAATCTCAAGGGAAAAGTTGGGGGGAGGAGCACGGGCGGGAGGAAATATCAAAAGCTCAGTTTTTGAAAGATTGAGTTTTAAGAAGTGTGACATCCAGACTGATATGTCATTTAGTAGTTTAGTCATATAGTCAGTAGAAGAGAAGGGTTAAGGTGGCGAAGGTGTCTATGGGTGACAGTGTGCCATGTAGGGGGATTCAGGGTTGGGGAGAGAGCGAGTGTGAAACTGACAAGATTGTGGTCTGAGAGGGGAAAAGGAGTGTTGGAAAGGTTGCAAAGAGTGCATAGGTGAGAGAAAACAAGATCT